GTGATCACAGACACCATGACCACCCCCTTGGCCACTCCTCACCTCTCCAGGCAGGCAAAGAGCCCTGGGGTGATCCCAGACACCATGGCCACCCCTCCCTGTATCCATTCCTTACCCTTCCATGCAGACAAAGAGCCCTGGGGTGATCACAGAGATCATGGTCACCCCTGCCTGTATCCATTCCTTACCTCTCCAGGCAAGCAAAGAGCCCTGGGGTGACCACAACCACCATGACCATCCCTCTATGTGGCCATTCCTTACCTCTCCAGGTAGGAGAAGAGCCCTGGGGCAACCACAACCACCATGGCCACCCCTCCCTGTATCCATTCCTTACCTCTCCAGGCAGGAGAAGAGCCCTAGGGCAACCACAACCACCATGACCACCCCTCCCTTACACCTTCCTTACCCTTCCAGGCAGACGAAGAGCCCTGGGGTGAACACAGCCACCACAGCCACCCCTCCCTTACCCCTTCCTCACCTCTCCAGGCAGGCGAAGAGCCCGGCCTTGCCCCCCACGGCACAGAGCACTTTGGGGGCGCAGCGGGGCCGCGTCATCAGCATGGTCTGGTGGGACAGTCTGTGCTCGGGCATGAAGTGGTACTTGAGGGCCTCGTTGAGCAGGTGCTTGCAGGTGTGGTCGTCCCGGATGAGGTGGTTGGCCTCATAGAGGCGCGTGAGGAACTTGACGCTGAGCAGGGGCAGGCGCACGCAGTGCAGCAGCTGCGCCAGGTGCTTCTGGCGCTCCTGCACGTCGTACTTGATCCAGGCCTCCAGCGCGTAGAACACGCTCTCCTCCGTCACCACGTTGAGGCAGTCGTTGGACACGATCTCGTCCAGCTCGGCGTGCGTGAGCTCCAGGAACTCCTCGGTCTGGCACACGTCCTCGAAGTTCTGGCAGATGTACTTGTTGGCCGCCAGGTACAGGTCGTGGCAGCCGTAGGTCTCGGCGAAGCGCGAGATGCCGATGCAGTTGCCGGGGTCCAGCTGGCTCTCCAGGAAGGCGCAGCACTCCTTGACCACCAGCTTCACCTGGAGCAGGTTGGCGGCGGGCAGCAGCGACTCCACGGTGTCCTGGGAGATGAAGACGGTGCCGGTGTAGGCGTACTCCACGATGGCCTGCAGCGCCGCCTCGGCCACGCACTGGAACTCCACCTCGGCGTTCTCCTTCTCCGACAGGTTCCCGGTGAACATGGCCTTGAAGTAGGGGCTGATGCTGGCCAGCACCACCTTGTGGGCGTGGATCTTGGCGTCGCCCACGCGCAGCACGACGTCGCACAGCTCGCGGTGCTGCCGCAGCACGTTGAGGCCCTGCAGGAGCTGCTCCGAGTGCAGCGGGGTCAGCTTGGCCAGCAGGTACGGCGGGGACGACGGGTCCATCTGCGGGACACAGGGACGGTCACTGGGGCTCCACCCTCACACACACGGAACATTTTAACAAGCACTACCGTTTCTGCTTTTATCTGATCAGGTTTATTAACCCCCAGTTCAACTTTTCAACCCTCACGTGCGATGCTGTTTCATGCGAGTTAAATCCAGGACCTTCAAATGTTCATTAATAGTCTGTGCCAGATCCATCTCCACATCAAAAACACAACTCAACCATCACTTTTTTTTGTTATGGAGTAAAATGCCTGTTATCTGATGCGTGGACTACGTGACAGGATTCTACTGGGGCAGCCTCAGTTTTGGGTACTGCAATATCAGAAGGATCTGAAGCTGCTGGAGGGTGTCCAAAGGAGGGATGTGAGGACGGTGAAGGGCCTGGAGGGGCCATACAAGGAGCAGCTGAGGGCACTTGGGTTGTTCAGCTGGAGAAGAGACTGAGGGCAGAGCTCAGGGGGCTGCAGCTCCTCCTGAGGGGCAGCTCAATCTCTGCTCCCTGTGAGCAGGGACAGGACTCAGTGAAAGGCTGGAGCTGTGCCAGGGCAGGCTCAGGTTGGATCTCAGGACAAGGGTCTTCCCCCAGAGGGTGGTTGGCACTGCCCAGGCTCCCCAGGGCAGTGGGCACGGCCCCAAGGCTGCCAGAGCTCCAGGAGGGTTTGGACAGTGCTCTGAGGGAGGGGGGGATTGTTGGGGTGTCCTGGGCAGAGCCAGGGCTTGGACTGGATGGTCCTTGGGGGTCCCTTCCAGCTCAGGACATTCCATGGCTCTACGTCAGGGATTTGAGAGAACTGAACAGTGACTAAAATAAAAGTAAAGAGATAACTAAAGAATAGAACTGGCTTAATTTAGACCAAGTTTTAAAAGTTCTAAAACTCCTTTGTGCAGCCCAAGTCCTGCCTGCTCAGTGCTCCTGGGGAGCAGCCCAGCCCTGCTGTGCCCCCCTCTCCCAGGCTGTGGCAGGGCCCCCCCTCTCAGGGCCCAGCCCTCCATTCCCATTCCATGCCTTCCCTCTGCAAACCAGCCCCACGGAGCCAGGGGGGCAGGAAAAGCAGGAGCAGAGGCTCCCATGTTCTGGATGCATGGAGCTCAGCAGAGCCTCACCTCACCTCACCTCATGGCTTCCACTGCCACAAAATCCCTGTGGAAGTGGCAGAGATCAGAGCTGGGGAACGCTGGGAGCTGGGCCTCCCTCCTCCACCAGGAGACAACTGTGGGAGCTGCTGAGGAGCTTCCCAGGGAGCTTCTGAGGGAGCAGGACCCAGGGGGACATCCTGGAGTTACCAGCACTTCACCCCCTCCCAGCCCTGAGAGCCACCCACGCTCCCACCATCACCAGGGGATGCAGAGGGAAGGGTCCTGCTCCTCCCCACAGCTCCACAAAACCCTCCTTCCCAAAGGTTCCATTGGAAGCACTTGGATACCTGCTCTAATTGCAGCAGCATTGCAATTCCAAGGTGCTGCCCACCACTTTGTTCAGCCCCATCCCTGCACAGGGGTGGAGGGGGGGGATGTGTCAGCTCCTGGACCACAACAAACAGCCCCACTGTTCCCCCCCAGCCTTCACTGAGCTGCTGATTTCATGGCAATTCGACAAATGATCTCCCAGCTCTCACTCCTCCTGTCTCAACAATAAGTTCATCATTTTTAGAGCTCCTTAACTGACACCTCCCTTGCAGGGAGCCCACTTAGAAGTGCTTCATCTGAAAGAACAAAAGGGGTTGCCAAGGTTTAAATGCAGAGTATAAAGCACTGACAGGGATGTGAAGGATCACAGGTAGGGAGGGAAACCTCCTACCCATGGAAAGAAACAGAAGCTCTCCTATTATAGCTCTGCAGTAGAAAAAAATAACTGAAAGAAAGTATTTTAAGCACACCTGTAAAAGGCATAATAATATACAATGTTTTCCCTATCGGGGTTTTGCAGCACAAATTGGAGGAATTCAAAAAATAAATAATAAAAAAAGCTGTTCAGCAGCTAAAACACTTTATTTCCCCTTTGTGTCTGTGCTCTGGTCAAAACTTGATTGCACAAACACAGACACGTGGCAGGGAAAAGGAATGGCCACAGCTCAGCTTTATAACTATATAATTATAAACAACTATATAGAAGGTTTTGTAGCACCCTGGTAGAACCTCTCCCACCCCCTGCACACCTGAACCACAGTTTGCTGGTATTTATTCCACTGCTCAGCAAGAACCAGCAGCTGGAACACGACCCAGCCCTGGACGGTACCCCAGTACAGGGGTTTGTGCTCCCAGCTCACATCAGCGGTCACCCCGGGGCTCTGGGCTGCCAGATTCTCCCAGGCTGGGCTTAAAACTCATCCTGAACAGCAAGTTATTGGAAATAAGGAGGTTACCCGGCAGAGCTGGCTCACTTGAGGGATCTGACTCTGCCAAAAAGCAGCGTGTGTGCAGAGAAGGAACCAGCAGCGAGAGCTCCGGGCACTTCTGTGCCCCGAGGGGGAATTTCAGTGCCTGCCAAGCAAGCCCCGATTTAGAGCCCGGAATTCCCGGGGCAGCAAAGCCACTGGGCTGGTTCTGGGAGTCCCGAGACAGCACAAACCCCAACCACACCCTGAGAGCCGGGCTGGGTTCGGGTCCAACACCCCGCACACAAAAAGGGCAAGAAAAAAGAAATACGAACAGAGAGCGCCTTGCTCACGGAATTGACGCTCTCCGTGTGTTCGTGCTCAGCGCTTGGTGCCCAAATCCAACCCAGCCTGCGCCGGGGCTGAGGGAGCAGGGCTGGGACAGTCCCCGCAGGGAGGACGGGGCTGGGAGCACCTATGGAAGTGGGTGGAATAGGACGGGATTCAAGCCCCTTCCAACCCGAACCATTCCGAGATTCCACGAAAACACCACCGGCTCTTGCGCCCTCATCCCTGCCCTTTATCCCCGGCAGCGCCAGGCTGGACCAGGAGCAACCCGTAGAAGGTGTCCCTGAACACGGCAGGGGGTGGAACGGGACGGGATTTATGTCCCTTCCAACCCAAACCCTTCCGGGATTGCCGGGCTCCGCCGCTGCCGGCTCACACGGGGGTCTCGCCAGGGCGGGTCCCCCGAGCACCCGCGCCCGCTCCCGCTGCACCCCGCGCCAGGAGGCGGCGCTGCCCGCTGTACCGCGGCTCTCCCGGTGCTCTATCCCGGTGATTTCTCCCGGTGCTCTATCCCGGTCCCACCTGTCCCGGTGCCGGCCCGGCCCGGCCGCAGCGCCGCTCACTCCGCTCCTCACCGCCCGCGACGTCACTTCCGCCCGGCCCGCCCCGCCAATCGGCGCCCGGGACGCCGCTCACACCCACCCCTGCCCCTTCCCGGCCGGGACCACCTGCACCGCGCGCGGGGGGGATATATTACTGGTTCGCTTCCCCACCCCTCCCAAGCGGTGCCCCGTCCCCGCCGCTCCCTCAGAACCGCTTTTCGCTCCATCGCCGGTGCAGTCGCGCTCTGTTTCACCCTCCCCGACTTGAGGAGACGGCGCGGAGATATGTGCGCGTCCCCCCCCCCGGGTGGCCGCGACGTGGTGCGCGCCGCGTCGGCGCGGTGCGCGGCGCCCCCTGGCGACGGCGGCGTTGCCGGGCGGGGCCTGAGGGGCCCCATGGCCGCGGGCCGGGGACATGGGCGAGCCCGGCGGGCACGGGCCGGGGCACGGACCGGCACCGGCACCGGCATCCAGCGCACACGGACCGCGGGGCCGCGGCCGCGCCTGGGAGCGCGGCGCCCCCGCTGAGGAGGCTCCGGGCACGGAGCCCCCCGGCCCCGCCGAGGAGGGCGCGGAGCCCCCCGACCCGCGTGAGGGCTCGGGGCACACGGAGCCCCCCGGCCCCTCTCGGGAGGGCCCCGGCACGGTGCCGCTCCACCCGCGGGGGGATGCGAAGGACACGGAGCCCCCCGGCCCGCGGGAGGGCTCGGGGCACGCTGAGCGCCCCGGCCCCGCGCAGGGCTCGGAGCCGGGCTCGGAGCCGCCCGACCCGCGGCAGGACGCGGATGACTCTCCCCCGCCCGGCCGTGCGGAGCTGCCGCTGGTGCCCGCCGAGCTCCGCGCGCGGCTGCTGGACCCGCGGGACTACCGGCGGCGCGCCCAGGCGGTGGAGCAGCTGCGGCGGGCGCTGGAGGGCTGCAGCCCGGCCGCGCTGAGCGCCGCGCCCGCCGCCGCCCTGCGCGGGCTCGTGGCGCTGCTGGACGCGCTGCTGCGCGACCCCAACTTCGCGG